AAGCTTTAGAACAAGTAGATTCCCAAAACACAACCTTACCCAAACCCATCCCAGTCATTCGTGTAACACATTGATTTACCAATGCAGTTCTCTGCAGTCATACAATGTGGTATATTTGGATTTTAGGAAGGCATTTGACAAGGTGCCACACAAAAGGCTGTTACTCAAGATCAAGGCCCACGGGATTAATGGGAAAATATTAACATGGATAGAAGAGTGGCTATTGGGTAGAAAGCAGAGAGTAGTGATAAACGGATCATTCTCGAATTGGCAGGAGATGTAACTAGTGGAGTGCCACAAGGATCAGTGCTTGGGCCTCAGCTATTTACCATTTACATCAATGATCTGGACGAGGACATTGAATGTGTCTAAATTCGCGGATGATACTAAACTAGGTAGCAGAGTGAGCTCTCAGGATGATGCAAAAAGATTGCAACAAGATATAGATAGGCTCAGGGAGTGGGCAAGTAGGTGGCAGATGGAATTCAATGTTAGCAAGTGTGAAATTATTCACCTAAGTAGCAAGAATAAAAGAACAGATTATTTTCTGGAAGGGGAGAAGTTAGATAGAGTTAGTATTCAGAGGGATTTGGGTGTCCTTGTACACCAGTCGAAAAAAGTTAGTTTGCAGGTGCAGCAGCAACTAAGAAGGCGAACGGCATGTTAGCGTTCATTTCGAAAGGTTTAGAATATAAGAGTAGGGAAGTCTTGCTGCAACTGTATAGGGCTTTGGTGAGACCGCACCGAGAGTATTGTGTGCAGTTTTGGTCTCCTTATTTAAAAAAGGACATACTTGCCCTAGAGGGGGTGCAGCGTAGATTCACTCGGTTAGTTCCTGGGATGAGGGGACTGACCTATGAGGATAGGCTGAATAAACTGGGGCTGTATTCTCCAGAGTACAGAAGAATTAGGGGAGATCTTATTGAAACTTATAAGATTCTTAAAGGGCTGATAAAGTAGACATTGAGGGATTGTTTCCCCTGGTAGGAGAATCTATAACCAGGGGTCACAGTCTTAAAATTAAGGGTCAGAGTTGAGGAAACATTCCTTCACTCAGAGGGTAGTGAATTTATGGAATTCACTACCCCAGAAGGCTGTAGATGCTCAGTCCTTGAACATTTTCAAGGCTGAGACTGATAGATTCTTGAAAAATAGAGGGATTACCTGATATGGGGATAGGGCAGGTAATCAGAGTTAGGTGAGACGATCAGCCATGATCTTATTGAACGGCGGAGCAGGCACGAAGGGCCGAATGGCCTACTCCTGCTCCTAATTCTTATGTTCTTATGTTCTAATGTGTGCGAGTTCACCTCAATGATTTTCCTGCCTGTGGAGTTCCTTATATCACCTGATTTGTTCTGGTGTTCAAGGCAGCAAAGGCAACAAATTATGTTTAGAGGCAAGAAACAGTAAGTCAACCCTGAGCTCACGCTCAATCAGCAAAGAGCAAGTCACTATAAATATAAGTATGCTGATGATACATTATTCAACTGCCTCACTGGATAAAGAGCTAATGAGTCCTCAACATCTCTATATACAATACTGGTTTATGAGCTATCATATAGTGGAAGTAGCAGCAGCTGTGAAAACACTGGCAGCAATCCAATGTGAAATTAGTGACCCGAGAACACGCAGGATAAACTGTTCATTTCTGGCATGTAGCAGAAAATTAAGCGGGTTCATCTAAAGTCACATACATTCGGAAGAGAGTACAGAGCTCTGATTAAAGAGACATAGTATGAGCAGCAATAGAACTGTATTCAGCATTAGACTGACAGGTTTAAGGTAGTCACTGGTCCACACAAACTCAGTCATAGTAACATATAAGACTTGAAAAACAATTGCAGCTCATCTCGCTGCTTCCAAATTAAAAGGAATATACCCAAAATATTTCCCATCTACCTCAATTGATTTCTTTCCAACAACAAGATTACATTTGTATAGCACCTTTCATGTCGGGAGGACGTCCCAAGGCGCTGGACAGAGTACAGCATTCCAGACAGATATCCAAGTCCCTCTTGAATCAATTACAATCTATCCCCACCACTTCCATGGATATTTTATTCCACATTTTTCTATTTCTGATCAAAGTAATTAAACCTGAACAGTCTGTTCTACTTCACTTGAGATTGAGTCTTTGCCGTCTTGTAGAAATTTTGCTTATAAATGATCAGTTTATCGATATCCTTTAAGATCTAGAATACTTCAGTATAATCTCCCCGCAGCCTTATTTTTCCCAGTGAACAGACCCAGATTCTGTAGCTTCTGTAACTGATTCACCACCAGAACAAAAATGGTTTGCTGGTTTAAGGTTGGAAAGAACGTTGACAAACAAGTGCGGTGCAAATGGGAACACTCAGGCAATGGAATTCATTCACTCAGGCGAGTACTACTCGGTCCAAACAGTGTAATCAGTATGGAAGGACAAACATGGAATTTGAAATGCAAGACTCCCACTGACCCAGAGTATTAACTATTGGTGCCACTGTTTCTAACGGTTTCCTCTTGCAAATAGAAGCTGTTCAGCGCCTTGGGACGTCCTCCCGACGTGAAAGGCGCTATTACAAATGTAATCTTGTTGTTGTTGTTTACTGCTTTGGGGAAGGGAAGAAGAGGATTTTTGGTTAGTGGTGACATGGAAAAACCCATCTCCGTGCATAAGAGAATCCAAGCCAGCAGAGTTCCATGTATGCTACCTACCCATAAAAATTCCCATGTTTGAACTGGAATGCGCACTCTCTCTCCAGAAGGATCCATCCTGCTTACCTAATTCCAGAGACTATGAGAAACAGGTTGGCAAGAGTAAAGACCTCAGAGTGTGCATTAGGGTACTGTTTAACAGCTGAATCGCACAGCTTGCCTGGAAAGCATCGTCTTCCCACTTCCCACTGCTTCTCCAGCTAGGACCACTCTGCCCATTAGAGCAGTGTTTTTTTTAAAAAAATTCTGCGCTGTGCCCACTTCAAAGTTTAATGTCCCATGCGCAGCACTGTCTTTTTCAAACATACTATGTTCGCATAGGTACGGTTCGTGTCCTCCTTGGCCTCTTTTCCCCAGGCTGGTTCGCAACCAATATTTCAAACAGAGGGTACAGAACAAACCGGCATTTTTTTGTTTTTCCTTTCTCCGAAACCTGGCCTCGCCTCACACTTGGCTTTTCTCCCCTCCCCTGCCCTCCCCAACTTGGGTAAAATGCTGGTAAGAAACATTCTTACTCAGTAATCTGTTCACGCCCTCAGTTTGAAAACACCTGCATTAGAGCTTTGGGCTCGTGGGGTTAACAGGATTTGAGTGGGAAGAATCCCTGACCCCCAGGGAGCAGTCTGCCCCTCCAAGTTCTACTGATGTACCAGACTGGCTGGCCTGTCCAGCAACGCCCTGCAGTATTGCAGACCCATCTGACTCAGGAACCAGATGAACTATCACGATAGAGGATTGACTCAATTCTGACATTTCATTGCCTAGTAGGTCACCTTGGAGCGTTTCCTGAAGCATTATATGCGCAATGTGAAACATGGTCTCCCTATCACACTCTACTGATTCTACAACAACAACTTGGATTTATATAGGGCCCTCCACGCCGGACGGGGTCTTAGAGCGCTACACAGTAGCGGGACTGAGCCAGGGAGAGGAAGGTGACCAAAGGCGCGGTTGAAAAGTAAGGTCTTTTATCTAAAGGATATAGTAAAACAACTTCCTAAATAACAGAAGATATTGGGGCAATCGCCTGTGGAGGACAGCACTTCATGTCTCCTGTCTAGGCAGCAAGCTGCTTCACCCAAACCAGCAAGGAATCCAGTCAATGAGCAGCTCCACTGTACATTTTATCCTCATTGCCAAATTGAAGTATCCCAAGCCAAGAAATTCAATACCTGCGATGCTAGCATCTTTTCACAATACTGTAACCATTTTTTGGGCGTGTTCACATTGGAAAAGAGAAGATTGAGAGGCGACATGATTGCTGTCTTTAAGATTCTAAAGGGAAAGACAATATGGATCATGACAGGCTGTTTCAACTTTCCAGAATAGTAAAACCAGAAGCACTACTGCAGTGAGCGAATAGTGAACCTGTGGAACAGGCTCCCTAGGGAGACAGTTGAAGCAGGAAGTGTTGATTCTTTTAAACACAGATTTGACACTTTTCTTTTATGAAATAACATTATGAGATACAGTACAAAGGTAGTTTGGGATTCATGTGCATGCGACCGCCAGGAAGGTGGAAGGCGAACTAGATGGACCTTGGTCTTTTTTCGTTTAGCATCTCTTATTTTCTTATGTTTTTGTTTGGTCAGCCTGGTGTCTGACAGACATGAAAAACATTAATTTCTAATGAACTAAAATGAGTGAAAGAATAAATAAATGTTTACTTATTTTACACTGCCTATTTAATCTGAACACTTGGGCAACAAGGTTGAAAGACTTTGAAAGTGTTGTCCTTCAATCTGGGCATCCTTCACTCCAGTTTCTCCCCATAGCTCTCTCCATATAGCAGTCTGCTATCACGATCATTGGTTCCAGGCCCACAAAATAACCCAAAGATATCATGATGTTCAAACTGCCCGCTTCCTGTGTAAGATGCCACTGAGCACCTCATTGACAACAAAGAGACTATAAATTATGCAGGTGGCTGCAAGTAGAACCCGGAACCCTCCAGTCCATCACAACCCCATGTTGGTGCTGCAACAAGCTGTAACCATACCATACCCCAGAAGGCAACAAAGCAGAGGGCAGGAATGCATTGGTTACAATACCTCACATCGAGAGCAGCAGTTACACTTGGCACACTCACCTCAGAACAACAGCTAGATATTATTCCAACTAGCCTTGGCTGAACTGTAGTATGAATGCTCTTTCTTCTTTTCCAATTCCAACAAGTATTAAAGCAACTCAAATTCATTCCAAAGCCTCAGAATTAATCCACACAAACAGTCATCCAGAATAGGCAAGAGTGCCTGGATACCCAACAGCTAAAGCAATGCTTGTAGTGCAGCACATCATACCTGAAACATTGATTGAAGTTCCTGCATCAAGAACACCACTGTTAGGCCTCACACAATACCTGCGTGGAGCTGTGGTCTTCACTTTAAAACATACATTTTTATCTGTAGGGTTAGCTAGTTTCAGGTTTGTAGTGACAACATCTGTGAAAGGACCTGGAAGAAAAGAGAAAGACGTTTAAATATTAAAACATTCACTAGAAGTATCTGATTCCCTAACATCGGAAGAATCTTTGCCGTTTGGAAAAGCACATTTCCATATAATAATAAATTGATCAGTTCAGTCCACAATTGTTTGTGGGAATACTGCTGTGCGCAATTGGCTGCCACGTTTCACCACAAAAATACAGTCAATTTACTTTACAGTATATTCTGTGAAGCGCTTTGAGACGTCTCGAAGTCGTGATAAGGCGCTATATCGAATGCAAGGATTATTATTGATCGCTCTTGTGATTATTGTGAATTCTGAGGTGAGATGAGGGCAGATTATTTTCACTGATCATGTAAAACACAAGGTAGGATGATCTTCAGCTATCTGGTTTGGATTTTAATCCAGATCCCAAAAGAAAGCAGCAATAATAATCCCTCCAAAACAAACAAAAAAATTGGTCATTTTCAATCCACAACTACTTGTGGGACACTGCTGTGCGCAATTGGCTGCTGCGTTTCGCCCACAAATATACGGCCAATTCACTTTACAGCGTATTTTGTGAAGCGCTTTGAGATGTCTAGAAAACGTGAAAAGCGCTATATCAAATGCAAAGATTATTATTATTATTAGCAGTATTTGAATCCACTTCTCAAGGTTATGTGAACTCTCACTTCCCCCTCCTCCCCCAACCCTAATTTCAGAAGTGAATGTTTTAACCCAGTCCACAGCACTCTCCCACTTCCCATGCGATGCACATACGGAATAGTAGATCACTGCATAATACACAATACGCTTAGCAATGAAGTCAACCTTATAACCATAAGTGATGATCATTGGATACGATTAAAGGAGGCAACCTAGTAGCCAGTGCTGGTATAAATGTGCTATCAGTCTGAGTAGAGACTTCCACTCAACAGTATTGAAACTGAACATAATTGTTATTAACAATTTCAACACCGGGACACCTGATAACCTGGGGGCGTGGGGGGATGCAGAGGGAAGAGAAAGACTGGCTGAGAGAGTTACTGAGCCAGATAAAGAGCGAGGGCAGTCATTAACTCAGAGTGGTAGCTGGAAGGATTTACTGAGAATGAGGGTGGCACAAAAGTCAATAATCTGAAGATTTCCAATCATCTACCCATAGGGCTTCTGAAATTTTATTTACACTGTTGTTTTGCCATTTCAAATGATCGATATAGTCTGCTTCAAAAACTTTTCAAAGCCAGGTTCCCACTTGAAAACGTTGAACGGTGATGGTCTAAATATAATCTTACAGGAATTAACACAAATATCCAGGGAAAAAGGAAAAACACCTTCAGAGCTTTAAATAAATCCCAATGAGGTTTTTCTTTCCTTAATGCTGCTTCTGTACTCCTGACAGTACAGGAATACAGCCTGGTGCTGTATTGCTTCTCAAAAGGCCCGCGGTCATTTTGCAACCGCTAAATGGAGCTTTTAGCAGCCAGGAGAGAGTGGTGGAGGATGAGCAACTTTGTGCGATTCAGACCTGCCATGTTTTACTGTGAGGGTAGGAATTGCCTAGCTCCTACCTCCTCCTGGCATAATGTGCTAACTAAACATGTCGACAGTCTTGAAATATTTTGTGCTGGGTCAACAAGGGGAAACAAAAGCTTAAAACAATCGATATTACAGGGCGTCCCAATGACATTTGTAATATGATTTATTTTGATGGGAATTAGTTTCTTTTTTTAAAAAAGGTATACTTAATTCCCCAGTCAAGAACAGATGTAAAACTTTGTTCCCGCTTGACTGTTTTGATCCTCAAATATGGATTTACCTCAAGTTGTAGTGTCATTGAGATTGACCTAGAAATAATTATTTGCTTTGTTGTGCACCGTCCTTCTATTCATTAATTCACTCTTTGATACAAGTTACTCAGATTCCACCAAACCCCCTCCACTATCTTCCTTCCCAGGATTTCAGAACTGAACTTGCGTTCCATTAACTTTTTCCACACATTTCCTTTAATTTCTCTGCTATTTCTGTTATCACTCAGCCAAGCACGGAGCCCTGAATCTGTCCAGTCACTTCCTGCTCCGCCAAGATTGGCAAAATCTGAGCAGCTGGATGACTTGATGGTCATCTGAACAAAAGGCAACAATCAACATTGAATTTATTATTCAGAAGTCAACAATTAAGCCATGGTTAAGAAACATCTGTTTTTCACGGAACAATTTCTACCTCACACAATCTGTCACACTATTCTATTACATCCCCTGGCTGGGCTTCTCTGGTGCTGGTTAATCTGTTTTAAGATCAGCAAACAACAATTAATAAGTCATTTCCTTTCATTTCATACAGTGCCTTTCACATTAGGAGGATGTCAAAGCGGTTCACAGGATTTACTGTAAACTGCATTTTGGTGACAGCCATTTTAGTGGGTAGTATCCCACTAACAGCCATAAAGTAAATAATCAATGTTGTCTGGCTATGATGGCATAGTCCCAAAGTGGAGCTTGAGCCCACAACCTTCTGACTCAGAGTGTACCAACTGTGCCAGGCTGACATACAATTGCGCAGAAAAGGAAAACCATTTAACATGACAAACCAGCAGCTATTCACTACTACAGGCCATCTTATAATATATAATATCCACTGAAACTGACAGAATCCACACAATGACTGTTCACTTCTGTAAATAGCTTCCATCAAATTCAACAAACACTTGCAGTAGGAACTTTATGCATATTTCAAAAAACATGCTCCCATTGATGGGCTCCTGATTAAACATCTCTTAAAGCAGCTGCTGGGACTGAGGTACATTTTGCATGTTGCATTTGTGTAGTTCAACATATTGCACCTGATCTTTAAAATCCACACAACAGTGAGTACAAAGAACATGAAAAATTTGCAAAATCCTCCATGAAATGCAGGATTTAATTACAGGTAGACTGCAGCAGCTCTGTTGAGAGGGGGCAATACAGTTTCAATAAACAAAATATCACCGGCAAAAGTCACAGCTACTCCACGTACAGTATGCTGTGAAAATTCAACATTGAGCTGTCCTCCCCTTTTAACACACTGAAGCCTGCTGCATTATACGGCCTAATTGGAGTAGGAGCTAAAATTAGCTCTACAAAAGGATGATTACTGAAGCAACTGCTTCTGAATTGAGATCAATTAGCCCCGAGATGCTCCTAAATTTCAAGCCTAGATTTTTATGTTGGTAAACTGACTGATCTCCACCAGGGGGGCTGTAACAAATGTAAACATCAGAGCTTCAAGGCTGATTTCATGTGGATTGAACTTGAGTGTCGGATTACACAATGTGAGGCTTTGAGCTCAGAGATAAGGCTGTTCCAGTAAGTAATAGGGGGAATGTTGAATACTGTTAATAAGGTGTTAACTGGAAACACGGAGATGGTCACTTGGTAGTATGGAGCAATATACAGGTGTTGACTAATGATCAATCAAATATTGGGTTATACAAAGGGTGCTCACTGCTCAGATGAGGCTATGAGATGCTGTTGTTAGGTCTGTTCTTGTCACTGTGACTTCCATTTTAATATTTAGTAACCCTAGCCACAAATTACGATACACAAAGCTGAGCAACTACACTTATTTTCCTTTGTGAATCCACTAGTCCACAAGGATCAGAGGAATATTTTCCACTGGCCCGAATCTAAAAACAGAAGGTCCTGGACTGGGACCATTAGAATATTTGACACTGATTTACCCCCAACTACCTCTTGCAACTTCCTCAAAATTCAGATCATGACCAACCCAGGTGAACACAATGCATAAAGGTGCAGATTTGCAGAGCACGATACTGGTGCCTTTGGAAATGAACTGAAAACTCATATTACTACAGCGTCAGTCACATGATGCCACATTCCAGCAAGCCCACATCACTGCCATTCTTGCCATCTGAATCATCTCTTTTAAATAACTAAGTTACAAAAAAGCTGAAGTCAATCAAGCAAGCAATTTGATAACTTTTTAAAAATCCACACTTGCTCTTATTTTAATATCATCAAAACCCATTTGTTGCATCAGTGCACGGGCACACATTATAATCCATTCTGTTCAGACTCTTTTGCACAGAGGGCATCTTGAATTCATTGAACTCCAAAGCAAAGTTGAACAAAATACTGCATTAATTTCTAAAGATAACCATCACTTTAATCCAAGCTTCACTGTAATGCTTATGCAGGAAACAGATCTCACCTTTCACCCTTCTCTGCGGTTCCATTACCAAAATTACCTTTTAAGACTGTTCCCAGATTACTGTCTCAGAGGCATCTGTCAAAGCATCTCTGTAACCAGCTGCTGTGAAGGTACGAGCACAGTATGGAGTAACTCGCACTGCAAATCTCCCTCTCTCTGGGACGGAAGAAAGCAACAGGTTTCCTCTCTGCATTAGTAGCTCATCGTACAGGAACAGCCCTCATCACTGATGGGATTTGGCTTTCCGTTAATGAACAAAAAAAAACAAACAGCTACACAATCACTCTGATATGTCGATGCTTCTGTATTTTCCAAGGAGTAAAAGTTTACAAAATATCTCTACCGTGTGCATTGCGGATTTTTATCGAGCAATTTCACAGACGCTCTAAATTGCACAATATATTGTTCCAGAGTGCATCAAAAAAGCTTCACAGGGATTCTGCCAGGTAAGCAGTCTCAAAACAGAGAGTGAAAGTAGCTTAGGGGGCATCCATTTAATTTATAGTCTATTCAACATTCCCACCATTGCTTACTGGAACAGCCTTATTTGTAATAACAGGACAACATACTTTTTGTTCACATGCGCCTGCAAAATAATTCTTTTTAACCATTTAAAAACATATATAGCAAAACCAGTTCTGTATTCCCCACGTCCTGCAATAATGCAACAGCCAACAGTACTGTAAGTAGAAAATGCGAGTAATGGCTGAGCAGTGGGATGCTGCAGTAACTGCTGATCCCTGATCGCAGCTCTGTCATGGATCAGCAGAATGAAAACCTCAGAAGAACACAGGACAAGGCAGATGCTGTACCACAA